GGATACTTAAAAAAAAAAAAAAAAAGGTAAAATTAAAAAATTTACATCTTGCAAAAATGGAGTTAAAAGATATTGGAACGTTTCCAGACACTTGAAGCCCCTTGTAATAATAAAAGAGACCTATTAAAAGGGGTGTGCTGATTTTATCAACTAGTTTAGTGATAAAAATTAACAATATTTTTTGTGCCCATAAGTGACCCTATAGTTCAGAGAACTATCTCATAGGGATTCCAAGACTCTAAATCTTTATAGGGAACAGATTGCCAGGTCTTTTCTGCGGCGGAGGAGTTGATGGGTTTGCTTCTTTAATTTATAATAGGTACATTAAGAAGCTTTGGTGGTGCAGTGACCAAAGCACTCATCTGTGAATGAAATCACCACCCACTCCATGGAAGAAAGTTTTGGCAGTCTGATTCCATAAAGATATCCAGCCTTGGAAACACTGTGGGCAGTTCTATAGTGTAGCTGTGAGTCAGAAGCAGTGGATTTTGGTTTATTGTTATTGTTAAATGTCAAGTCGGTTTCAATTCATAGCGACCCTGTTTAGAGTTTCCAAGGGGTGGCTGGTGGATTTGAACTTCCGACCTTGCATTTAGGAATCTGGTGCTTACCCTGTTGTTGTTTTTAGGTGTCACTGAGTCGGTACCTACTTATAGTGACACTATGTACAACAGAACAAAACACTGTCCAGTCCTGGGCCAATTCCACCTGAGCCCATTGCTGCTGCTGCCACTTTGCAAATCCATCTCCCTGGGAGTCTTCCTCTTTTTGTAGGACCCTCCACTCTACCAAACATGATATCCTACTCCAATGACTAGTCCCTCCTGACAATATGTCTGAAGTATTGTTTATCCTACAGCATAAATTATTAAGTGTGTGCTTATCTTACAGAATACATTATTAAGAAAGCAAAAAACTAAAAATAATTAAGTCGAAGAAATACAAAAACAAGTCAGTTAAAATTGTTTTATATATGAGTTTATTTCCTGATTCAGTATTTAACAGTATTTACATATTCAAAATAATGGAAACATTGATGATTCCATTTTACCAAAAATTGATTTATAATGGTAAATGAGTGGCAGATAAAGACAATATAGATAAATCCTACTCTACCATACAAAAAGAAGTGGGTACATTAGGTGTAAACTTGATGTATTAAGAAATAGAAGTACACACAGTGCTAATAAAAATGGATTTGTCTGCAAGAAGAAACACATGAAGATTTAAAGTACTTAGCTCTGAGGAACTGAGTGTGAATAGAGAAGTGGAGAGTCAGGGAAAGACTGACGTTGTTCATCATAACCCTGATAGAACCGTTAGACTGTGTATTATGTTGACTAAAATATTTAACTTTTTAAGCAATAGGAAATGTAGTAAGATGGGAGCAGAGAGGAGAAAATGTGAACTAAACATAGAAGTTAATTTATGACATTTAAGAAAGTCCACTAGGAAGAACATGTTGTTATGGTTGTTAAGTGCTATAGAGTTGGTGCTGACTGATAATGACCCTATGCACAACCTAAAGAAACACTGCCAGGTCCTGCACCATCCTCACAGGTTTTGTTATGTTTGAGCCCATCGTCGCTTGGGGACCCCATTAGGGGTCTTCTTCTTTTCCTCTGACCCTCCCTTTTCCAAGCATGATATCCTTCTCCAAGGACTGGTCCCTCCTGATAACATATCCAAAGTACATGAGACAAAGTCTCGACATTTTCTCTTCTTAGGAGCATTCTGATTGTACTTCTTCCAAAACAGATTTTTTTGTTGTTGTTCTTCTGGCAGCATCAGGTCTAAGGAAAAGGCCTTGTCTCCTTTCAGAAACTGTAGACCCAGCATTCCTTGGGGATCTCCATATGTGTTGGCATCAATCCTACCCTGGACCTAGGTGATTCACAGTGCAGGAACTCCAGGTCAAAAAGACACATGCCATTCCTGACTCTTCTTTCTTGGTGGTCATATGTTCCTCTTTCTCTGTTCCAGTCTGTCTCCTTTTATCTCTTGCAAGATAAAAGGTGTTGCATGCCACACCATCGGAAATCTCCTGTGCATCAGATCAGGGCCATGGTGAGATTATGGGTGTTGTTGTTGTTGTTAAGTGCTGTTGAGTCAGTTCCAACTCATAGAGACCCTATATAGGGTTTCTGAGAAGCAGCTGGTGAGTTTGAATCATCAAACTCACAGTTATCAGTCCAGTACTTATCATATGCCACACTAAGACTCCAAGGGTAGTTTATCCTACCCTTAGTCTTCTCATTGGCTTATCACATCATATCATATCATGGGGGGATCATCACTGGTTGGTGTAGGACCAGGCAGTGCTTTGTTTTGTTGTGCATCAGGTCATTATGAGTCAGTACAGATTTGACGGCACCTAGCAACCAACAATGGACTTCTGGTGTGGTGTTGCCGGTTAATGCGGTAAACAACTACAATATGTAAAGGCAATTTGTGGGTGATTTTATCCTTCTATTTCAAACTGTAAGTATTCACATAAAATTATACTTCATCCTTCTGTTAATGCCATGAATTGTTTAAAATTACATGACTCAAATAAATTTATTACTAGCACAAGTGTGAACAATAAAAATAGAGTGAACTGTACTCTAAAACATGCTTTTTACAATACGTAATATTGTTCTAGACATATGTTGTTATTTTGGGGAGGGAAAGGAGATAAAATGAGAAGTGGCAAGAACATTCTTGAATGAAAACTAGTTAAATTTCTACATGTACACATTTCTTTTTAACATAACTTCTCTGAAAAAATGGAAAAATCTAACACAAAATAAGGAGAATTAGTTACCTGAGTTTAGTTCTAAGGACAGACTCTTGTTTCCAGTCCAGTGGAAGACAGAGCAGTTCACAGTAGACACATTGTCCTCCTCCCAGTAGCATGCGCTCTGGACAAACACGGTACTATTCCTCTGATTTCCTTGCTCAGTGACACACTTCCCCTCTGGGGTCCAAGAGATCCATGCAGCTGGCTTCCCTGAAACTGCCTTGCACACCACAGTTCTAGTATCTTTTTTAAATATGCTCACCTCAAGGGGCACTGCAGAGATAAAGGAAAACTAATGCTTCAGTCATAACATAGACAATAGGGAACTTAGAGACACATTTGATTCAGTCCCAAATCTGGTTAACCAAAACATCACCACATAAGATGTTCCTTACCAGACACATGAAGGTGATAGTCATGTTGGAAATTCCCTTTAGTTATTACCACTTCACAGCTGTAAGTCCCCTCATGCATGATGGTCACTGGGTCAATCAGAAGGGCAGGATTCTGGTCAGGTCTGGTGGCCCAGGTTACTCCCATATCAGTACAGTTGGTATCTGCTGTCTCATTTCTATCTCTCCTGTAGGCTTTCAGGCAGTTAGTTTGGTTTCTGAGGGTTATCTTCCAAGTTACCATGATGAAGTCCACTGTCGGTGGGACGCAAGGGCAGGAAAGCACAATCTTTTCATCCACCTGTACTGACATTGTCGTGATCTCTGGACACGCAGCGCACAGAAGGACAGTGATTTTACTTTAAACACTTGACATAAGATTCCATGTTTAAAATTTATCCATAATAAATGAAGTTATACTAGAATATTATTTTAGTGGCAGTCTTATTCCAAAAATAGTAGATTACTAATTAAACATTCATAAAATGTATATAGTATT